CCACCTAGGGTCAACCCGTATATTTGCCAAGGAATGTGAAAAGGGCACAATGTCAGAAGCCTCTCATGATGTCCTCTACAGTGGTACCTCAGGTTACATACGCTTCAGGTTACATACACTTCAGGGTACAGACTCCGCTAACCCAAAAATAGTGCTTCAGGTTAAGAACTTTGCTTCAGGATGAAAACAGAAATTGTGCTTCGGTGGCGCGGCAGCAGCAGGAGGCCACATTAGCTAAAGTGGTGCTTCAGGTTAAGAACAGTTTCAGGTTAAGAACGGACCTCCGGAACAAATTAAGTACTTAACCCGAGGTACCACTGTACAAGGATAACCACCAGAACCTCCCAAAATCTCTCACGGCTCAGAGAATTGGGGCATGCAAATTTAGATGCAGCATATAGTAGAGAATGAATAATCCCATCTCCTGGTGTGGCTTTCCATCAGTAACACTTGTGTTTGGTCTATCATGGAGTAAGGAAGCTTTTACATGTTCATAACCTGGATTTAAAAAACAGCCGCCACCACCAAATGGATCCGTCCTATGTACTCCTGTTGAAAAGCTGCAAAGCAGGTATGAGGCACCTGTGGTTTATAATACATTGATGGAATTCAGCTCGTATCATTCTTTGAGCATTCACCATGCTGTTTGAGTCTGTTGGGAAGTGAAGTCTGACACCTACAGGGCCACAGGTTCCCCATCCCTTCTTTAGAGAACCTCAATTTTTGATGCAGTTTAGGGCCCTGGTAATTGAAATGAAAGGAAATAATGATACTCAATTGCTCATTGTAGTCCCCGGTGTGGTTCTATAACATATTAGTCAATTATTCTTCAAAAGCGACAATAAGGTGCTGCTGTAGATTGGTGGTTTCCAAATGTTCTCCCCCATGGACCACTTGAAAATGGATGGAGTCTTTGGAAGACTGCTTAATGAATTTTCTGCCTATTGTAGAAATTGTAATGCAATAGACTAGAAGCTGCATGGTGTTTAATTGTATTTTTATCTATGGAATTCAAATTGTAATACAGTAGAATGCGGCATGAGAGATAAAAGTAGCAATAAAAATACAATTAAAAATCATTATGAATATTTAATGCGGACATGCCGTGGGCCACCTGAATGAAGCACGGTTTAGCAACCCCTGCTGTAGATCAAGAGATCTCAAACCTTGTCTAAGGTAAGCCTTCCTAAATGAAATTAATTTACGACATGTATATCCTGACCTCCCAATGTGTTCAGTGCTGCATACGCAGAGCTCTTTTAACCTTGTGAGTTAGGCCTTGCCAGTTTCTTGGTGAGCTCTGTAGCTGAGCCGCTCTGAGCGCTGGAGGTGCCGTTTTTCAGGATTAACCCATTTGAACTCCTGCCTGCCTAGTCGGAAACTGACACATGTTCCTCCCACATCAGACTGAACATTGGAGGCTGGGGACACAGGGGTGAATTCTATCCATACCTTGGCACTATTTAGGGTGGATCAAGTTCCATGTGTGCGTGGAAATAGGACTCTGTCCCTTTGGTAGCAGCATTCACGCATGGTGGAGATTGGGCTTTCAAATTTCAGCGGCATCTTGTGTGATACCAAAATTTGGTGTGTACTCTGCCTCTCATGTTCCATTCTACATAATTGTTGTGGCGCCCACTCAGCTTGGTACCCAGTGCAGGTGAACCAGTCCCTTCCCCTCTCACTCATTTATCCTGCTGACTTTTAAAGCCCTAAACAGCCTCGGCCCATCGTTCTGCCCAGACACTGAGGTCCTGCTCCGATGGCCTTCTGGTGGTTTCCTCACTGTGAGAAGAGAGGTTACAGGGAACCAGGCAGAGGGCCTTCTTGGCAGTGGCGCCTGCCCTGTGGAACGCCCTCCCATCAGATGTCAAGGAAATAAACAACTATCTGACTTTTAGAAGACATCTGAAGGCAGCCCTGTTTAGGGAAGTTTTTTATATTTGTTGTTTTATCGCTTTATTATTATTACTAATATTCTGTTGGGAGCTGCCCAGAGTGGGTGGGGAAACCCAGCCAGATGGGCTGGGTATAAATAATAAATTTTATCTATTATTATTATTATTATTATTATTATTATTAATAATAATAATAATATTAATTCTCCTCTTCCTGGCTCTGCCAGAGTCCTGCTCCAAAAAGTCTCTCTCTGCTGTTCTGGTAGTAATAACCATGTGGAGTCAGCTCATGCCGATATCCAGTGTTGTTGGCAGGCTGAGGGTTGTGTCCGCACAGGGGTTCAAACCTGGATTGGCCTTTGCTGTGCCATTGCACAGCATAGCTGTTGGAGCATAGTGCTAACAAAGACTAATTTCTATGTGTGTTGCTGGCAGGCGTGTAACCACCTTGGTCTACAGCATCCGGTGTCCCATGTAAGGTTGTTGGAGAATAAAGGGAAGCAGGAGTTGAAATTGCTGGAGCTCACTTATTCATCCCATTTCCAGTATGGAAATCAATCAACAGCTGTTGCTGTTGCTTTCAGACCACAAAAGATAGGTAATTGATTACGTCCCCATCACCCCAGTTTGCATTGTCTTTCCATTGCATTGAAAGGAATACAGTGGAGTATCATAATGGCAACAAAATTCACATAGTCAATTACATAAATTGCGTAAGCTATGTAATTTTGCCACAACAAACAGTGAGACAGTTTTGGGTGGAAGACGAACTGCAGCAGAAAGGAAGCAGTATTGTGTGCAACAGATAGAGGGAGGACGGCAAAGTGATGCCTTCTTACATCCTTACTCTCCTGTTATGAAGCCAACACAGGCCTTGTGGAATTTGTTGATCAGGAAGGTGTGTGCACCTCTTCCCTGGAAGGTTTCCAAAGGCTGGGGAAGATCTGTAGCTCAGTGCTAAAGAGCCTGCCTTACACACAAAAGGTCCCAGGTTCAGTCCCCAGCATCTCTAGGTAGGAGAGACCCCAAACTGAAATCCTGTAGAGCCACTGCTGGTCAATGTGGACATGGCTGAGCTAGATGCAATTCAGTATAAGGCAGCTATGTTCTATGTTCCTATGCCCAGTTTGATCTCTTCCAGGTTGGGTGACGTTGAGTGCTGCAACATCTTAGTGAGCTGCTTGACCCATCGTCTAGCGGACCTGATCCCCCTCCAGATATTGGGAGTCCATCTGGAGGCTCACAAGTTCCCCATCCCTGATCTAGTGCATGCCTTGCTTTGGCCTAGATGCTGCTGTTCCATTAAAAAAAAACAAAAAACCCACTTCTGGGTTCTGTCCTTCTAATTTAGTTTAAGATTGGTTTATTTATTTGGTGGATCAGCTTTCCCCAACCTGGTGCCCTCCTGATGGTGTTGCACTCCAAGTCCCATCATCCCTGAGCATTGGCCAGGCTGGCTGAAGCTGATGAGAGTGGGAGTCCAACTGGCTGGAGAAGGTCAAGGTGGACCAACTTTACTTGAAAACAGGGGACTTGCTCTCCTGACCAGGCTTTTTGGAAACAAGCTGTTGTTATTATTTTAATTCCCCAAGCTGTTAAATTAATTTAACAGATTACAGCTATAACAAAGGCGGCATTTTTTCATCTCCGCCAAGCTAAGCAGTTGGCCCCTTATCTCTCTCGCCCTGACCTAGCTCAATACTGTGATCCAATGAGCGTCACGGCAGACTGGATATTGTAACTCGCTTACGCGGCTGTTTTGAGACTGACCTAGAAACCCAGCGGTGTAGACGTCGCTGGCGAGACCTCATGGGTCTTCGCCATGTAGATCACATTCATCCGGTACTATACCGAAGGCACTGGCTCAGATAATAGGACACCCAGTTTAAGCAGTTATCAACTCTTGGGCCCTAAGGACCCAGGATCCCGGGAGGACGGCACCGCCTCCTGGTATGCCCTACAGAGGAACCCACTGGTCTGCAAATGTTGATCCTGAAGGGGTCCCAGGCCTCTGAGAGGTTAGCTGGCCTCACCAGGAGCCATTGTGGCTGCCGCGGCTCCAATCTGGTGGAACGCCCAGGCTGAGACCAGGGCCCGTGACCCATCTTCTTCCGCAGGGCCCGGGGCATGGCTGTTCCACCAGGGCCTGGGTCAGGGCCCAGCCTGACCTTCACCTCCGGCAACCTGCACAGAACTTTGCTTAACGGCTACACACTTGATTTGTAATTGTAATTTTATGCAGAAATGTCAGAATGCTGGATTATTTGATTGTTTGGATTATCATATTGTTACGCTCTGGAGCCTGGCTTTTGGCTGGGGGAGGGCGTGGAGGCAAATAAAAAATTATTATTTCATATTATTATTATTATTTAGATTAATTTAATTGACTTATGATTGTGGGACCAGGTTGTGGGGCCAGTCACTGACACTTCCCCATGGGGTAGAGTGCCGTGTAAGGTAGATGCTGAAGACCATGTCTGAGTGTTGCTCCACTCAATTGTACTGTTCAGGAAGAACAGAGGAAGCAAGAGCACAGAATCACCAGAGATGGCTATTAAGCCAAGCACCACCACCAGGGAAATGGACTACCATTGAATTTGAGTGCTGCTGTAAGCTCTGTGGATGAGCTGTTCCTATGTCTGCCTGCCCTGTGTGCAAATATCCTGAAGGAGCAAGTACTCAGCCTGGGGGGCTGCTTCTCACCTCAGCCTCTTCCACTGGATGCCCAGTTGAGCTCTGGGGCTAGTAGCACCTTCCACCACCATTGACTGGAGCATCAACTGCTGCCACTCCTGGATTGACTATGGTCGTTTTAAGCATGGGTAGCGTCAAGGTGGGATTATTGCAAACTGGGGCTTAGCTTGCAGTTGCTCAGGAAGCTGCTGTTAGTGCAGAACACTGCAGCACGGTTGCCAATAGGCCTGAGATCCTGCCAGCATATTGCACCTCTGCTCAAATAGGTGCTGATTTCCAACCATGCCAAGTTCAAGGTCTTGCTATTATAATATAAAACCCAAAGCCTTCCGTTTGTTTCACCAAGCCTCTCCAGACTTGGGAATAAGTTATGCATATCTGTTTTCAAACATTGCTTCTTTTATTTGCACATCAGTAATTGTTTTGATTTGTTCAATAAACGCTGCTTAGGAGCTATTTAATTAAGTGATATATAAATTATTTGAAATAAATGAATGCATTTGTGAATAGTGACCTCAGTTTTACTCTGAAGTGCCTCTCTGCTAGTCTTTGAGCCGTTGTGTTGTATTAGTCCTACTCAGAGTAGACTCACTGAAGTTAGTAGTACCAACTTAGTCCCATTCATTTCAGTGAGTTTACTTTGAGTAGGGCTTAGTTGGATCCAGCCTCTTTTTGTTTTTGAACTAGCATGGCTTGCCCAAGGCCATTTGAGAATTGCTGGGGTGGAATCTTTTGAGAAGTGATTGTGGAGAGACACACAACCCTCTGTCTCTCTGTGTGTACATATAATTTTAATCATCCGTCTTCACAATTAGCAAAATGAAGTTGACATGAGACTGAATAATAAATCTACCAGGAGTTGATGAACATAGAGATGCTGGTGATTAAGCCTTGTTGTTGTTTTGTTTATCTCTGAATATATATATATATATATATATATATATATATATATATATATAATCAGGGTAAACTGGTGCACCAGACAATCAGCAGAAAAGTGGTTCATAACTTTAAAAATAAACATGCCGTATGTATTATGCAAAATGTGTGCACTGGGCTGATGTCAGGGCTTGGTTAGCTGTGCAGGCACTGCTGGTGCACCCCTTTCATACGGGAAGGTTTGCGCTCATCTGTGTGTGTTGCCAAACCAAGTTTTCGACTGTAGCACCTTTGAATTCATTAGTTCAGAACTGCTTTTAATTCGCCATTTCCCACGAGAGCCATTAATATTTTTCTGCTGTCAGCCTGATGTTGAAGAGCAAAAAGGAAGGCGGCAGATGTGGCATTTTCATCTATTTTGTATCATACTTTAAAATGGCATTAACTGCTAAACACAGAGGAAGAGCATTGCTACTTATTTAAAAGGGGGAAAACCCATTTGCATGTATTAAGTAGCTTTGCATTAAAGTTGGTTTCAAAGATCGGCGGTGTGTGCATCCGAAAAGGAAAGAAAAAAAGTTCATAATCCTCCCTTATTAGAATTAAAATTCTGTATAGATGTGTGTAGGATTATTTCATTATTTGGAACATACCAGCTGTGTGCGGAGGAGGGGGACCACCTTGAACAATGTGCGACTGTGCTCGTATACACGCGCATCTGTTTTAAAAAAGGAAGTGGGTTCTCCCCACCCCCCATCACCAAAGTTAAAACATTTCATAAGAGATTTGAAATTGTTCCTACAATATAATGTACCTGCGCTCCTAATGTGGCTATATATAGCTGACTGCCTCATTTACTTTAATGGGCTACTTGAATAACATAATCATAGCTATAAGCATGGTACAAGGTTGGAAGGTGCATGAACCACTAATGCTTTCTGACGCTTTAAATGACTTCTTCATAAAATGCTCTTTAATAATGGTAAAGCTTTTAGCACTAGGTGTCAAAAATGACTGCAATGGGAGCCTTCCCCGCACCATCACCGAAGTATTATTTCCTCTTTTGCTAAAGCTTGTGTGTTACAAATAAATAGCACGGAGGCCAAGGTTTTACATCACACTCGTATTTACAGTGAGCTCCAAGGAGTTGTGGATTATTATTATTATTATTATTATTATTATATTTTACTGCACTATCGGACAAACTCACTCCACAATCTGTGCCATAGGCTAACATTTTGCTGAGCTTTATTTATTATTATTTCTTATGTATTTATGAAATTTATATACCCTATAACATAGTCCCAGGCTTGTTGTTTTCCCCTTCCTTTATCGTCTTTCCAAGAATGAGAATCCTCACTCCCTACCACATCGAGTAACTTTACGTACTGTATGCTAGCTATGTAGATTTTTCTAGCGAAGGGAGAGAATAAACCATTTCCCCGCAGTTCCGTATCTTTCCGCCTTTTGTAGAAAGCTTTATGACAGTAGAATGCTTATCTGCGAGTGGAGATGAAAAGCAGCTTGTGCCTCCACCATCGCCCTCTCGGTGCATTTGCACTTTAGCATTTTCGAGGGAAGTTTAGTCTCGTGGTGAAATCAAATATAGATTTATGTCCGGGAAGGAAGAAAAATGCAAGTGTGATTATTGGGTACTGTATAGGGGGTTTCTCTTTTCTTGACCCAACCAATCATGCCTCCTCCACTCATCTTTTTTTTTCTTCTTCCTTTTTTCTTCTGTAGGTTATTTGGCGTTACGGGGAACTGTGCAGCCTGCAGCAAACTCATCCCTGCTTTTGAGATGGTGATGAGGGCCAAGGACAATGTTTACCACCTGGACTGCTTTGCCTGTCAACTTTGTAATCAGAGGTAGGAGAGTTTCTTAAGTCTCCTTCCATGTACTGAAACCAACTTGGGACTGACCTAGAATTAGGAGGGTATGGAGGCACAATAGCTTGCTATCATTCTCTGGGCAAAACTGGACACAGTGTACCTGCTCTCACTTACCTCTTATCACAGCAACCCTACTCTTGCACAATAATTATCTGTGGTTCAGTATTACAGGCATGAACTTAATGCTCCCCTTTGCCTCACATCTACAGTGATTGTACTGTGTACTTTGTTCATGGTTTAGCAGCAAACATGGTAAACCATGGCTTGCAAACCGGAGGCCACTCTTGATTGTAATGCTAAAATCCATTGGTGCAAATTGCATCTGAATGCAGCTCCGAATTTGAGTGGCAGCTCCATCGTAATGCTGCCACCATCACTGAGCCCCAGTATCACATAGAGCAAAACCTTCTGTGGCCATGAAATTATGGAGGTCCTATCCTTTCGGAGATCCGCTTCATTTTGACTTTGAGCATGTTGGCTTGAATCCAGACTTAGACCTGCAGAAACCAACTGGGCTCAAGTAAGTCATCGCTACTTTTAGACCCACTGAAACCACTTGATCCTTCTCTGACCATGACTAAGTCCAACCCATTATAAAATTGTACATGGACAGTTTCTTTTGGAGTTTCAGGTTAAAATGCTGCAGAGCTGCAAAACTTTAAAACTCTGATGGACCCCAACATTCGCAGAATATTATTATTCAGTTTTCAACACTCCATAAGTGTTGAAATGCACGTTGGGCTGTATCCACTGTTAGGATATTGAGTTTCCGTTCCACCTTTAGAACAGGCATGTGGAGTTTTTGTATGTCACATGTCTGTTTGCTTCCAGCAGAACTTCCATTGTATATAGCTTTTGCCTATGCTTTTTGCTTGGATACGAAGGGAAGCAGACATGTTTTTCCTTTGTTCTAATGCTGAATAAACGCTTGTAAATATGCTTACATATGCCTCTGTCCGCTACTTCCGTTGCAAAGAATTCTTATCTCTGCTGGCTTGCGTGCTCAGTCTCTAAAGGTTTCTGAGGCTTGAGTCACAGTTTTTTATACTGGAGTTCGCCCCGGCTGTCGGCCGGTGGGCTGGAGCCAGCTGGGGGCCTGCCAATTGCCCCCGTCTCCCAGGACGCATCCCAAAATCCACTTGCACAGCAAACTTCCATGAGCACAATAGAACTTCCTCTTCTCCTAGCCCTTCCGGCCACCATGTGCACCCTGCAAGTCAGATTTCAGGGAGGTGTTAGTAGAGCAGAAGAAAGGGGAGTCCTCTTGGGTGAGTGGAACTTTGCTTGCATAACAATGGGTACAGCCCATTTTTTGGAAGAAGCCACATGTTAAATATGTTATAAAATACATAAAAATGTTTGTTGAGGTGGCTCTCCTACTTCCTGAACCTTAGCTGGCTTAACATGGAAGCCACTAATGGAATGTCACTGCAACTAACCTGGACTGGAGTGGGGCAGTGTCAGGGACTGGCAGGACTCTGGAGTCCCACTCAGGAGAGGAGAAACAGTAGTCCGTGGGTTCCTGTACCAACCAGGAGGCAAGAATCAGAGGCAAGGGAAGCTTCAGAGTGGAGGAAGAGGCAGGGCAGGCAAAGAAAGTGCTGGGTGCTTCCCTGCCCTCTCCTGTACCACTCACTCCCAAAACCAGAAGGGAACTGAAGCAGGAAGAGCAGAGGCAGTTTCCATGTAGGCTACCTCTGCGCACCCTGTCAGGGGAAGGTACATAAACTGGTGGAAAGGGAGTGGTCTCCAGCTGCTGCAACAGCTTTATACAGCACAGACCTGGAAATAGCTGCCTAGATGCCAGATTGGTGTGCAGAGGTATCCAGAGCTGTAGAAGCGACTGTAAGGGTTGTCTTTTACAAGAAAGTTAGCTCTCTGCCGTGTATATACCTTTGGGCTGTGTACTTGCCCTGGTAGGGCCACCAGATTGGTTCCAGTGCTTGGTGCGCTGATGGAGCCCCAGCCTCACAGCTGCCCAGCCCTACCCCAATGGCAAGCTGCAGCAACCCCAGTGCCAGGAGGGCCGTTCTATGGCTCTGCCTCACCACATGGACCACTCCTGTGGAGACAGAACTGAATGATGGTCAAAAACAGGGCTGGCCCTCTAGATGCCCTTGGACCATAACTCCCATCAGCACCAGCCAGCATGGCCAATGGTCAGCTGATGATGGGAGCTGTAGTCCAACAGCATCTAAAGAGTGCCACATTAGCTTTAAAAACCCCCACAAAGTGTCATGGTCAGGAAATGAATGGATTTGCCCGTTTCTCTAATGTGTGGGGTAAAATAATGGAAGAGGCAGCCCACGCTGCTCCGCTTCGTTCTGTAGCGACATAGTGAGTTTTAAAAACACACACGCACACATACAGCCGAGCACCCCTCATGCAGTGTGAATTGTGCAGCTGCCATAATTATAGCTTTCTACAATTACATTCTAAAACAAAGCCAAATTGACCTTTTTCATCACGATGTGCAGAAAATTAAAATATCAGACAAGTAATAACCACTGTTTAAACTATGTAATAATGCTAAGCAATTAGAAGTTACAGGGCCATTTACAGTTCTTATACATCAGCCTTGTTTTGGTGCAGAACTAAAGAGCCTACATTCAAAATAAGGTCAGCCTTACTCTACCAGTGGAATCCATTCAAGTACGAAATAATTGCATACTGTTTTGAATTGAAACTCTTAAAGACTTTCCCCCACCCTTATTGCTCCAAACCACTGTTCTAGTGTCATTATTAAAACTGTCTAATACGTTCTTGTTGTTCGCTTCATTTATTGCATGTCGTAATGGGTCTGCATATCTTTAGCGCTGGTTATGCACAATTAGCACTTAGTTACTGTCTTGTCACTTCATCCCGTACAAGATAAACTTCTTTAATGCAAGAAGTCGGCTAATCTTTATCAGTCAAGCAAGGCAGATAATTTTTGTTAGCCACAGAACAAAAGACGGTGGGCTTCTTTTTCAGTGTATAGAGGTTTCGGATTAGTGACAGGTTTTCTTTTCTTTTTTTTTTAAAAAAAGATAGTGGCCATCGCTTCTTGCCTGCAAAAAAAGAAGAAGAATTAAAATATAATAATAATATAAATATTTGCAAGTATGAATGATTTGTGTAACCAGCAGAGAGGGAGATTCTAGGGGCACAGCTAGACATGATGTTGGAAGTTAACAGATTGATTTAAAATCGCAATTTAGCAAACAATAAAATAGCACAGGACTTTTTAATGGCCAAGTACTAACTTTTTCAGGTATGCTTGCATGTTGTAAAAAGTGTTGAAATAACTCTTTAGTCAAAGCCTGTTCTCACCAGAGAACAGAACATCCAATGAAGAACACGAAGAGGGCTCAAACCTCACTGGAAGCTGTGCATGCAGAATTTCTCAGGCTCAATCTTTTGTGCCTCTGCTCAAAAGGACCAGGTAATAGCAGATGGGAAAAAATTCTTCCTGAGACTTTGGAGAGTCACTGCCAGTCAAAGTACAATTACATAGTACTTGGCTAGATGTACAAATAGGCCCGATTCAAAAATAACAGTGTAATTTCAATTTTAAACCATGGTTCATTAGACCAAAGTGTCTTGTGCCTGCACCCACCCCCTCACCTTGCCTGGCTTTGACATTGACATCTCTGCTTGTTAAACCACTGTTTCCTGTGATGCCTAAACCGGGAAACTGTGGCTTAAGTGCTCCTTACAAATCAGAATATACAGAGAGCAGGCACTGGGAGAGACATTTGCCTGAGACCCCAGACAGCCACTGCCACTAAGAGTAGATAAACCACTGGTTTGTGTAAGATAGCTGATGGGATCCGCAGTCCCAAAGGGTGCCAGGTTGGCCAAGGTCAATATTAGGAAATGTCATACTTTCTTCTTTGAAAGTAGAAAGTTGGGAAACAACTGTTCTATCTACATTATCTAGAGTGGCATTCTTCAGATTTGTTTCTGGACTGCAACTCCCACCCCATTATTCCTCTCCATTGACTGACCTGGCTAGGGATGATGGGAGTTGTAGTCCAGCAACAGCTGGGGACCAAGGTTGAAGAACCCCATCGGTGTTGTCACTGCTACCACCACCATGTAAGTCAAGCAAGGGGTCAGGTGGGGGAAGGCCATTTCACCTTCTTTATGAAACATGATATTGGAGTAGGTTTGCAAGCATTGCCCATGGCAGGGGTGAAGAACTTGCATCCCTCCAGATGTTGCTGGACTCTCATCATCCTTGACAATGCCTATGCTGGCTGGAGCTGATGAGTGTAACATCTGGAGAGCCACCAGTTCTCCACCTTGAGCTTATCTGTCAGCCCAACAGTCCACCACTACTGCATTTACATAGGAAGCTGCCTTATATAGAGTCAGACCGTTGGTCCACCTAGCTCAGTAATGACTATACTGCCTGGAAGCTGCTCTCCACGATTTCAGGCAGGAGTCTCTCCTAACCCTACCTGGAGATGACAGGGATTGAACTTGGGACCTTCTTCTTGCAAGGCAGATGCTCTTCCACTGAGCTATAGACCTTCCCCAACAGAAGGAAGAATCACCTTTGTTCTGGTGCAGCTCTGGGAAGGTGTGCATGAGACAAGGCTACCATTGTTGTGTTAAGCAAGGAGAGGGATGCGGGTGGCACTGTGGCCTAAACCACTGAGCCTCTTGGGCTTGCCAATCAGAAGGTCAGTGGTTCGAATCCCCACGACGGAGTGAGTTCCCGTTGCTCTGTCTCAGCTCCTGCCAACCAAGCAGTTCGAAAGCACGGCAGTGCAAATAGATAAATAGGTACTGCTGTGGCGGGAAGGTAAACGGCATTTCTGTGGGTTCTGGTTTCCGTCACGGTGTCCTGTTGCGCCCAAAGCGGTTTAGCCATGCTGACCACATGACCTGGAAAGCTGTCTGTGGACAAAAGCTGGCTCCCTCGGCCTGAAAGCGAGATGAACGCCGCAACCCCGTAGTCACCTTTGACTGGACTTAACCGCCCGGGGGTCCTTTACCTTTGTCGTTGTTGTTTAGTCATTTAGTCGTGTCCAACTCTTCATGACCCCATGGACCAGAGCACTCCAGGCACTCCTGTCTTCCACTGCCTCCCGCAGTTTGGTCAAACTCATGCTGGTAGCTTCGAGAACACTGTCCAACCATCTGGTCCTCTGTCATCCCCATCTCCTTGTGCCCTCAATCTTTCCCAACATCAGGGTCTTTTCCAGGGAGTCTTACCTTTACCTAAGTGAGGATGGACCACTCTGGCCACAATCAACAGGGCAGATGTGATTGGGGGGCAGACTCTTCCCCCCACCAACACACACCCAGTTATATATTCATACGAGCTTCTTTTTATATAACTGAGGTATGCTTTGTGGGAGGAAGAACTCTGCAAGTATTGTGCAATTTGGCCAGAAAAGCTGTTTAACATAGGGGTGGTTTTTTTTATTTTTGCAGAGAAACAAAAATGGTCAGGTGCTAAAGAGCTCAGAAAATAAGTGCTTCCCCTCTGCAGGAGCCCTTTTTTATTTCCATCTGCTCCATTCAATAAGATGTAGGTGGGATATAACAAAATAGAAAAATATGTCAGGGAAGGATTCGAAATTAGGAGTGTGTGTTTTCTCTATGAAGCTGCTTTGACCATAAATAACTTGAAAAGCGTTTTCAGGACCGGTTCCATAATCTGTATTTTCAGTCACGAGCTATGAGCGGGTATTAATCCGAGAGATGGGGGAGAGAGTGAGGTGGGGAGGAGAGGGGAGTCCACACATAAACAGCCCAATTTTCCTTCAGGAGCCAAGCTAATTCTTTTCAATCCACTTTTTTATTACACTATTTTCCCTCACTCTATTTAGCGAGCATAAGGATAAATTTCCAAAGCTACCCGGTTGGAAAATAAATGGGTTCGCTGTTTGTCTAGCATTCCAATCTTTACAAATGTAAATCAGCCCAACTGCTGCCCCATTTAAAACCTCACAACTTCACAAAACATTAAAGGCCTCCTTTCAATACACAATTTACTCTGTGACAATTCCCTCAGATTTCTGCTTCAGACATCATTAGAAACCGACTGACTGATAAAAAGGGTGGGGAGGGTGGGGGCCCCACAATCGAAGGTCGCCAAGGTCAACTTGTGTAATTATACGTACTTTTACTGGGTCAACTACACCAGACACCGCTATTTGAAGGTTAAATTGTTACAATTAAGTACATATACAGCCTATTCCCATTGCTACTCTGTTGTTAAATCTACCGTAAACAACGTGCACATTTATTTCTGCTTCTAATTGTGTCCAAGATGTCGCTCGCTTGGAAAATTATACGGCAAAAAAGAACATTGTAATCCATTACCGAATTAAACAATAGTTTCGAGAGTAAAGCGGGTAATTAGCTGAGGGAGACTGGTTTTCATCTGTCTGCCTCAATGCTAAGAAGTTCATTTAGGTTACTCGATTTGGTTTAATTGGAGCTTTTGGGTGTCGCACCTCCCAATATGTTTTTATAGATGGAGCGTTGGCCACAAACAGAATGTGACCCCCCGATGCACGATCATTCATTAGCGAAAGCTCTTCTGTGTGCCAAAAGACCCCTCGGGGTGTGGTGCTCCCCCTGTTTCTCCAGGCGGGCGTTAAAAGAGAGCTCTCTTTTTGTTATTAAGGAAAAATGAACCCATTGAAAAAGTAATGCCCATGCCACACTTAGTGCAAAATTAGCTTGGCTGTATATAAAGGCCAATTCACATGACCCCTCCCGGGCCTGAAATGTCGATTGACAGCGATGCGGATGGAATTAAATAGTGTGGCGAAGCCACCAAGTGAAGATTTTTGTGACGCTGTGGTGCAGCCTTCCCTAAACTGGGGCTGATGGGAATTGTAGTCCCAAACATCTGGTGGGCATCAGGTTGGGAAAGGCTTCTGTAATGTCTAACGTTCTATAGTGCCACCAAGAGAAGTGGTCAACAGTGGCTTAGTCTTTATACAACTGCTGTGGTCCATTGGTTCATAACCCCAGGGCTGGATTACTGCAACATACTCTGGGTGGGGCTGCCATTGTCTATGCTCCAGAAGCTCTAGCTGGTGCAGAAATTGATGAGGGAACATGGCCCACAACATCTGACACCAATGTGGAAATGGTGCTCATCTACTACCAAGCCTGGTTCATGGTCCTTGTATTAATGTACAAAGTCCTGGACAATTTAGGTTCCTGGGTATATTCCAGCTCAAACACTGAGGTCATCGGCAGGAGCGTTTCTGGTCGTTCCCCTCATTGGCGAGGCTCATCCGATGGCAACAAAAAACTGCGTGTTTTCCTGACACCTGTGTTTTAAATGCAACTTGGATCCTCGACGTTTCTCATCTTATTTCCCCCCTCTTGTATTTCCAGATTTTGCGTGGGAGACAAATTTTTCCTAAAGAACAACATGATACTGTGCCAGACAGACTATGAGGAGGGTTTAATGAAAGAAGGTTACGCGCCCCAAGTTCGCTGATCCGATGCCTCGTCGCGGAGAATATTGAAGCACTATGTTCTTACCCTTTCTTTTCTTTGCTTTTGTTCAACGTGTATATATATATACATATATATATATTAAAAAGAAAAACAATGGCAGAACCTACTGAATAGCGTAGAAATAGGGAGACAGGATGGTCGTGTGGAATAAGAGGCGGACTTCAAATATATGTAGTGGAAATTGCACCAGTTCACAGTTGAATGTTTATTAAAAGATAATGTAAATACTTGCTGGAGTTTTTTTCCCCCTTTCCTTTTTCTCTTTTGCTTGCTGTTTTGGTTATCTTATTTTACTTTATTTTTTATTTTGCGTCATTTGGCATGAGATGCTTATTTTGGACCAATGTATATAATGTACTGTAATATTCAAAGCACAAATGTAATACAGTTTTATTGTGTTACCATTTGCTTCTTTGTATTGTTGCATTTAGTACAATCGGTGTTTAAACTTTATTGTATATTTATGCTTTCTGTATCTACCAGCTATTTTGAAAGAGCTGTATCTTTCTAGTAAAAACAAAACAAAAGCAAAAAAAAGAGAGAGAGCGAGAGAGCCAATCCCATGCATTCTTCTCCGTTTTAAGAGCTTCACCAACGCTTGATCTATTGAATTAAAACTGATGGGTAAAACTGGCCAAAGTTAAGTGCACAGTTCCATTGACTTGAATTGGGTCTATTTAAGTGCATGCTAAACTCTCCCATTGAAACCGATGGGATTTGGAGGTGCTTAATTTCAGACTGGATTAGAATTCTAGCCACCACGCTGAAGCTTCCAAGGTTCTCAGTCTTTCATTAGATCTCATGCAAGCTTTTCTTATCATTACTATTATTATATTGAATGATGTTAGCTATTTTATTCCATACAGTTCAAAAAGTACTTTCTGTTTGCTACAGAATTTCAGCGGGGGTTTCCCCCCGCAACTTTGTTGGCAGTACTTCTCAACCTTACGGAGTGGGCGTTTAATTATTTGGGGCGGGGGCTACTGTGTTCTGTATACTTCCCCCCTCCGATATATATATATATATGTAATTGCTTGTTTCCAATATAACTGGGAATGAGGAGCTGAGCCCCAATGCAAATCAGTGCCTTTGGGTGTCATGTAAAAATTTTATATGTATATATATATTTCTGAAGTTATTTTAATGTAGCATAGTGATTTCTGCTCCTGTACAGAAACGTTATTTAAGAAAAGAAAAATCAGTGTCCTGCCTAAACATCTATCCGGTTTGGGTAGAGCATACCTAAGAGACTGTCTCCCTCCATATGACCATCACAGCCCATAACGTTGACCAAGAGCGCCCTCTTGAGGTCACCTCCTGAGTACCAACTCAAGACATCTGGGCCTTGCAGAGGGGCATTCCTAGGGGCTGCCCCACAGCTATGGAAGTGCTGTCATGCTGGAGACTCGCTAAAACCTGCATAACCTTTCAGAAGCGTTGTCAGGCATTTTCGATACGAGCTGCTGTTTATCGGTGGGGGAAGGAGAGATGGAAATGAAGAACCTCCACTCAGAGCGCTGAGGCTATCACATCTGTTGACTTTTGTAGATGCGTTTAATCAAAATTCGACTGGATATTGTATTCTTTGTTTCTTAATTTATTGTTGTCCATTCCAAATTGTTTGGGGTGGGGCAGTCTAAAAATAAATAAACTCTAAGGATTGGATGGCAAAATCTCAAGCTGGTGCTTCTCATCTACCGACTCAACACCACCACTTTTTTTTGGCCAACTACCAGTTCCCCAGTTACCACATTTGCCACTGGTTTGCAAAGAAGACAGCGGCCATCACTTCACGTAACCTAAGATTCCTCAGAAAACAATTTTGAGTACTTTTCAAAAAGTTCTCCTAAGCTGTTAGAGAATTTCAGTCCTCCATTAGAAAAAAAAAAAAGATCAGTGAAATCATCTTTCCAGTCCCACCATCTATGAGTTTGGGGTACAGCTGTGGACCCAACTTTAATCTTTATTGGCTAACATGAGTTTCATTCCTCATTAAGTGAGCATCAGTTTCTCTGGAGAAACCCTTGGGAATATTTCACCGCTTCCCCAAAAGCATGCAGCAAAATGCTCTCCCCAAATAGCATGGGATGTTTGGGGGTGTTATTTTAGCATCAACCTTTGCAGCTCCATGGTGTCATCCAACCAGAATCCACTCCTATGTTTGACATCTCTACCTGATTAATTCATGCAACCCTTTTTAGACAGTTTGGTGGTCGTACAGCAGAGGTGAGAAACATCAGGTCCAAGAGACCAATGCAGTTCTCCTGGCCTCTATCCAGTCCTCAGGCCCATATGCTTCACCGGGTCTGCTTCCCATCCTTTCTCCTGGCTGGAATGTGCCCTCAAATGGCAATAATGCCTCCTACTTGCCCAAATGGAGGTGTGTGTGTATTAGGTGGCTTCTGCACAGCACGAATGGACCCTGCTGTGGCACCTGTTAAGAGTGGCACCTGCTCTTACTTACTTACTTACCTCTACCCGGCCGACCTCTGGCATCCAGCTCCTTCAAGGTTGCCCTCAAGGTATTGCAGCCTCAAGGCTGGGGGACAGCAAAACAAACCCTGTTCTACACTTTTTCTACAGGAAGGCGATTGTGCCATAGCCAAGTAGTACCATTGGTTCCTTTGGGGCAACACTGACTGTTTTTCCTTTGGGGCATCGCTGACTGCTTTTGGTTGGTGGTAGCTCTTCAACGCATCATGCAGGGGGTGATCCTGTCTGTTTCCACCATGGCTTGTCAGATACTGACCCCAAAGGCAGTTTGCTGTGGAGCTCCAGCTGTGAAGTGAGGGTGACCAGCTACATTATCCTGTCATCTGCCTACATGGCATGTTTAGCACATCTGTGGGGTTAGGAAGCATCCAGAATAGGATGCAGCCATACTAGAAAAGAATCAAAGCTATGGGATATGATCAAGATCAGGCTTCCTCAACCTCGGACCTCCAGTTGATTTTGGCCTACAACTCCCATGATCCCTAGCTAGCAGGACCAGTAGTCAGGGATGATGGGAATTGTAGTCTCAAAACATCTGGAGGGCCGAGGTTGAGGAAGCCTGATCAAGATGATCCTATTTCCTTTCTTAAAAGCACTCACCACAAAGATATTCATACACAGATGTGCAAGAGCGCAAGTCTCAATAGGAATAAAAATCTAAAAATGGCTATTGGCCATGAAAGCTTAATTGAATTCACATATGCAGAGGCATATGTGATAATGGATAATAATAATAATATATAATAATAATTTATTACTTATACCCTGCCCATCTGGCTGGGCTTCCCCAGCCACTTTGGGCGGCTCCCAACAGAATCAAAACAGAAAACATCAAACATTAAGAACTTCCCTAAACAGGGCTGCCTTCAGATGTCTTCTAAAAGCCAGATAGTTGCTTATTGCCTTGACATCTGATGGGAGGGCATTCCACAGGGCAGGTGCCACTACCAAGAAGGCCCTCTGCCTGGTTCCCTTGTAATCTCACATCTCGCAGTGAAGGAACCGCCAGAAGGCCTTTGGAGCTGGACCTCAGTGTCCGGGCAGAACTATGAGGGTGGAGACGCTCCTATACTTGGGCTTGGGAGAGACTGTGGGCTTAGTCACACCTCCATTTGGCCCACCACTTCCCCCTGGGGAAACCAAATCTTTGGAACAAATGGCAGTAGGGTTTTCTGCAGAGTGCCAGCAGGGCCAAGGCAAAACCGCTACGGCACAAGACAAATGGAAGTGTGGATTAGCCCTGTTGCAACATTTTGTTTGCTAAAGAGGCAACTGGAACTCATTTCCAGGTTTGTCTGCATTTATCACATAAAGCAGTGGTCCCAAAGCTTACCCCAAAACTGCAGCATGGCAACACCAACATCTTTTATTATATGTACTAGGAGCTGCACCCCTGCTCGCCAACCCCACTCCCCCCTTGTGGGGTTTCCAAGCTCCTCTGCCACCGAGGGAAGCATAATAAAATTCAGGTTTCTTCCACATGCTTCCCAAAGGAGCAGCAGTGATGGCAGCCTTTCACACACACCTTGCCCCTGCCCCTGCCACTGGCTCTTTCACTGTAAACCCATAGGACAATCTCCCCTGTTCTCTCCTTACAGGTGGTCAGTGCTATTGGTTGCTGCCTGTCTCATTGGGGCTGCATAGAAAGTTGCTCAACTAAATTGGCTACAGCAGAAGTTTTCCATCTTTTTGAGTCCACGGCTCCCTTGACCAACTACATTTTCTGCAGCACTCCTGTGAGGCTCAGGAGCCCAGTTATGTCACCCCTTTCCTGCAGAGCTGGCACCTCCCACCCTTTTTCGAACACCCTCCCTTGTCCCTAAGTGTTCCCTCATCCTCCTCTCCTCTCCCCTCTCCTTGGGAGTCATCTGGGCAGCAGCTGCTGCTGTCCCTGGTCTCTGAGCTCCCCACCCCAGAGGTGCCCTCAGAGGCATCATTCACCTGCAGAGCTTGTAGCCAGGGCTGCTGTGATAAAAAACTATGCAAGCCTTTGGGAGGCAGAGACACGAGAGGACATCAGAGGCAGGGAAAGAGGGACAGAGGTCAATGTTGCCCTTGGCACCCCTGGCTATCATTCAAGGCACCCCAGGGTGCCACGACACACTGGTTGAAAACCACTGGGCTACAGTGACTGTCTATAGGGGGTTGGTTAGCTGTGGTTCCTACATGGCTGGCAGTTGGACTGGGTGGGACTTTGGGTCCCTTCCAATTCTCTGATTCTAGGACTGGCAGCAGTTCTTGGCAGCTTCTGACAGTCGTCTTTCCCTCCCCTACCTGGGGATGCCAGGGATTGGATCGGGACCCTCTGCATGTGAAACCTGAATTACATAAGCACAGCCTGTGTTTGGTGGAGTTTTCTCCCGATCTTGAGTCATCACTCTTTAAAAATCACATGTCCCAATGTTCTTTTTTTAAAAAAATTAAATTAAAAGAATTCCTCCCCTACATCAGTTTGCAGTTGGTTTTAACTACCAGTGAACAAAGTGTTCATCAGAGAGAAAGACCGGGGGAGGGGGAGCAATCTTGTTAACATTTTTGGACTCTGCAGGCAAAGGGAGGGTTTTAAAGATTCCCACTACCAACACACACACACACACACACAATGTAATGCTAAGTAGTTTCTTGTAATTTTCTCAGCAGTGGGCAGTTTGCAGTCATCTGTGC